AATGCAGTGATTTTCGAACTTTATAAACTCACCGTTAGAAGATTAATAGTAAAATCGTGCAAGTGCAACGAAATTATGTAGGGCAACAAAATTTCGTCACAACCACAATACACAGATCGTCGCCATAGTGACAATATTGCGACATGGTAACAAATGAAAATTGTTTGAAAACATTTGATGCTCATAGAAATTTAAAAATAATAATAATAATTAGTGAAGTACTATCGAAAAAATTTTCAACTTATTTTTGCAACTAATAATTAAGATCTTGTAAATTCCATAGCTAATATTTTCCACTAGTCTTGGAATGTAGAAATTTCATGTCTCTCTGAAAAAACTTCACTCCTTTGACTGCCTCTTGTTCTATGTTATAGACCAATGGTTACACAAAATAAATAAATATTACTTTCTTAAATTTTTTTTAAAGTGTATAGATGTCGTTTTCTTTACATTACTATTTAGAAAGAAAGCATAAGAGATATTTTACTAAAGCATGACAAGGAATATCTCATCTATTTATTTATATTGATGAGCATCTTCAACAATGTTTATTTCAAATATCATTGTTTTCTGTCGCGATTTTGGTTATAAAATGGATAGACAAGGCTTCGGAAGGGACACCGTCTGTTCAAATATACTAAAACAATCGTTTTTGTGTTTTCTAAAATACAGAGAAATTATTGGCCAAGTAGCGTTAGATTTTTTCTTATTCATTGAAAGAAAACTTATTTTACATATACGAACAGACTATCGCACTTTAAAGTGCTTCAATCTGGCAATATCGAATTTATATAATGTATTCGAAAATTCGAATATGGTAATTTTTGATTCGAAGATAGATTATTTTATGCCCACCAAAAATTTGAGGTGGGTAGATTATATTTAGTCAATTCACGACTGTAAACTGTTCTCACTGCCGTTGGAGATTTATAGCAAAAACAGCTGTTTTTGACTAGCCGATCGAAGCTGTGGCTCGCTACAACTCTGATAGATTGGCTTCGACAGCCTCACTCCACATTACTCTTAATTTTTTAATATTATTTTTTGCCGTTTTCACTTATTTAATTGATATTGCGTTAAGTTTTTACTTTTTACTTTATTTGTTTGCTTAATTTTTTCATTTTGACATTTTGTAGTGTCAAGATCAGTGTGATAAAACAAAATGTTCTAAGCAGGTGGCGCTAAATCAGACGCACAGGGAGATTTCGAGTATATTAACTTCAAATATTCTCAGTGAAGTGTCATCTTTGTATGGCGAAATCATGCTAAATCTAGTAGATTATTGAGAAAGTCCACTCAACAGCATAAATTTTGTGATTAAGTGTAGGTCGGAAAATGGTTTAAAAAGCAAGCTATTTATCAGGGTTTGATCGTAATACTACGGTTGGTATGGTTTCTTAAGATATTGGATTATGTGATTTAATATTTATATATGAATTTTAGTGAATGACAAAAAAATAAAAAAAAAACCATATTTGTAAAGTGAAAATCACGATTAAAAATCTTAAATTAAATCACTGAGCGGTAAAAATATACAAAAAAAAAAAAAACAAATAACAACAAAATACCCGAATATAAAACGGTGATTAAACAAAATCGAACAATGCTGGTATGAAAATCATTAGTAAGCGAAATTCTACTCACTTCTTAACTAAGTGACAATCCGATTAAGTCTACAAAATTCACAAAAATGTTTCTGATACCGAAAAAATTCGAACAAACGCTGCGCGCATCCCCCATACAGCCAGCGACGCCGGCACAGCCTGGCTCTGGCTTAAATCCGGAATTTCATAGAGGCTGTACCGGCAAGGCGCACGCCTGTGGCACGCTGAAATCGCGTTTAGCTGCCAACAATAACACCGGCACCAACAAAAATGGCGTTCATACACAACAACAAACTAATGCAACGCTTTCTACAAAGTCTCATCCGCGTAAGAACAGCATCAGTTCGGAAACAATTAGTGATAGTGGTTCCGAGAACTCAGCATCCTGGCATTCAAACGATTCAATGGTAACACCAAATGGACGCACAACGATAGACAGCGCCTCAACGTCAATCACACAAAAAGTTAATGGCGCCAAACCAGCGCTCGCCAAAAAACCAACGCTTAGCGCACACTCCAAGGAATATGCGGTCGCTATGGCCAAAGCGCTCAAAGCTGTCGATACACCGCGTTCACCCATGTTAAGCGTTAAGCGCGGGCAAAGTCAACAGCGTAATGCAATAGCACGCACTGCATCACCAGCGTCCACCACGCCGAGCAGCGTTAATCGACGCATGCGTTTGCACAGCGATGGCGATCACTCGGCTGAGAACAGTCTAGCGAGCAGCGCAAATACTTCAATGACGGCTATTAATAGCGCACAGCAGAGTACTTTTGAGCGCACGCAGAAATATCGCAGTTTTCGTATAACGGGGCGTAGGCACACTGCAGCTGCTAGTGTAAATATGAATGCGCGTCCCCCTTGGAATAGTGGCGCCGGTATGCGCAACAATAACAATATGTCGATCTACTCAAGTCACAGCGGTAATAATAGCAGCGCCAGTGGCAGCGGCGGCACTGCTGCGTCCTTTAACAATCGCAGCTTTCGCAGCTCGCTGCGTCGCAGCACACGCGAAGCGCTCAACTGGCAGACAATTTGGGAACGTTCGTTGGCGCTGCGCGGTTACGGCGCCAATAGTGGAGTCTTCAAGAGCTACGATGAGGCTATAAAACAGCAGGTTTGACTTATTACTAATGCATATCCGGTCAACTATTCACATAGATAATTATAAAACGTTTCAACTAAACTAACCCAAATAATTATAAATACCATATTAGCACATCTAATATTACCGTTACATGTCAGTTAACCTCTTTTTACCAAAAAAAGAAACTGTCCCTTACAGCGCGCTTTGTTGCGTTTGTCAATGCAATTTTCGCTTTGCCCGCGGCAAGCAATCTGATACTTACCTCTACTGAGTGCCACAAACTGTCCAACCGTTAAGTTGAGTTAAACGTCAGAAATTATGTGCACAATTCGTCTTTTATAGTTGTTTTAATTTATTTAATTGCCGTTTTCGCCTTGTAACGTTAGACGAACGCCGCGTACGCCCCGCTTGTTACTCGTTAACTCGAATGCAACACTGCAAAGTTAGACAATGTTGCATGTGTACGTATGCTTGTAATCCCTTGTGGCAATCAATTGTGACGCGATCACATACCAACAATTCAACATCATAACTCTTTACTCTTCAATCATACATTTGTAGTTGTTCTGCCGGCATTCGCTTAGTTGTTCATATAGTTTTATTACTGTAAACACACATATGTATGCTTGTCGTTCTTTATGTATTGTACGTGATTGTATGTTGCATTGCGTAGGTGGCCACGTCGCTACAGTGCGTAAAGCAGGAAACTGAAGACGCATGCCTTGCGCTGTGCTCTATCGGTCACATGTGCCATCAAGCCTATCAATATTTACTCTGTAAACGCATTGTATATTTAATTATTGTTATGCGCTCGTTTTGTTGAGGACTGTATAAGTTTTTATTGGTGTTGTTGCCGTGTAGTAACAATGCTAGATTTGCTTTTAATAGGCTCATAAAAGAGTTATTAAATAGTTGCATGCAACATACATATATGAGTAGAGTAGTAATAGTATAGAAGCCAGTTTATTTACATATACTTCTGTGAGAAGTCGAAGAAAGGTCATGTGGATCAAAGTAAAAATCATTTGCAGCGAACTACAATCAATTGTTGCACTCTAAACCTTAGAAAGAGCAGCCACAAACTCAAACTTTTTTGGCACTATATTGGACGCCTGCGTCAATGGACTTCCGCTATTATAAAAAAAGCTTTTTTTAAGACTGTTTCTTTTACCAGTCTTTTCTTCGATTTATTATTCAAATTCTTCGATCTTCGATTCCAAGTTGTCAAAAATTATACTGGAATATATCAAACCGCTATAAAAACCTTACATAAGATTTAGATATCAGTTCAGGAAGTTTTTGTGAAAGATGTAGCATCTTGGGTACAAATACTAGCACTTCCAAAAATCCCCTTCAGTTTCAGATCCTCTTTCTAACAGTAGCATCAAGCTTTCCGTTAAATTTTTTTTTTTGGATTTGCTGTCTCAATGCTATTCCAAATCAGATCAGAAAATCAGAAATCAGCAGATCAATTGAGTTACAAGCTTTTGTGCTGCTCCACCAAAATCGAATTCAGATAAGGTTTTTTATGCCAAACAAAATTTTTTCTTCCACAATTATTGTTTCATTCGTCTGATCTGTTAAGTCGTGAATCCTAGATTTAGTAATTTTTACATCATTTTCACGGCTGTTGAGTTGTTGTTTATAGCCTAATCTTACAGTGGAGAACCAGTTGTCTGTCTGTCCTATACTCCTAATATACCGCTAAAGTTTTAGGTATGAGTCGAGTCAAGGAGATCTGATTCACCAACGTTGAATATTTTTGCAGCAAAAAACCAAACTTAGAACCATAACACGTTGACATCTTTGTATGTGCATTCTTAACTTTTGAATCGTCTTAAGCTTCTTTATTTACTTTTAAATAATATTCATATTAATAGTATTCGTAGTGGTTGATTTCCCTACATATCAATTTGATTGATCGGTTAATTGTGCGCACTGCCATCGCACTCCACCGTTGATTGAAAATGCCAATGTCAAATCGTATTCATATTATTTTCAAAATATTTCTTATACTACAAATTTTAATTATACATAAATAACTGTTCAAAGCTTGCGTAAATTTGCCGTTCTACTTTAACCAACGATCCTGTCTTTCGGTCGGATTGACATGGCTTCGGTCTGATGTAGGCAACATTATAATAATAATGCTTGAAAATTCATTGATAAATACGACCGCGATCAATATCAGCAGACTGCCTGTCTGAAGAATTAAGATTTTCACCAAATTTGGCATAAGTACTAACAGAACGAACGCGCGATTGTGCCACGCTATTTATTCAACGTGAAACTGATTTTTTTTATTCCAGCAATGACTCAATCAACGTTGTCTTTAAAGCAATAAAGCTTAATGAAATTAAATAAAAATCTCTTTGGCGTGGCATTGCGATTAAAATCGTATTTCTAATTTGCTGCAGTGAAGTTAAGTGCCAAACGTTGGCAGCTCTGCCACGTAAGAACTACGCTCTGGGTGTGTACTTAGTTATGCGTGTTCGGTAGAGCGTCGGCGGGGCCGCGCCGTTGCTAGCAATTTCTGGTATGTCACTCAAATCACACATTAAGTGCGTTTCATTTATTTTATATTTATTTATTATTTACTCGTGTGTGGGTGCTGCACAAATACCAATGTATTAAATCATTCACTTTAAGAACATACACTTACATACTTTTTAACACACTAGGGTCGTTCGATTAAACTTAGTTTTTTGTGTAAGAAGTTTCCAATAGCTTAATAGTTTCGGTCGATGCGGGCAGGTAGACCGTTATGGAATTCAGTGTATTCTAAGATCCACGTTTATAGCTGAAATTCCATTTCCTTACTTTCTTTGCTCTTAAGTGAAAGCTATAGATCCGTTTTTCGCCCACAGAATAGAAACATCAGATCGTGCTACAGTTGAAGTCCGGGACACTCGGCACCGATTTGGAACAGGACTGAGTCGAAGCTTACTATCTGCTTAGTTATACTTAAAGGTCAATTATCTGTTAAAATGGTCATCTTCCATCTAACAAAAATCGAGTTTTTGTTTACAATGATGGATCCAAAGTGAGCTATAAGATAAAAGCTAAGCTTTTGCCATAGGAGTTCGACAACTCTATTCTCTTCCTCTCACGTTTCAATCAAAGAAGATCCGGAAAAAGTTAGAGTAAAAAAGTATTTACTTTTTACATAGTATCACTTTAATAGAACCTGTGACGTTATTGTAGTGTTTGTCTAAGTTTAACGCACTACCTAATATAAATTTAAGTCCGTAGAAACTTGCACTATGACGGAGCAATTTATAAATTCGCCAGCGTCGTAGTTTCTCGTCACGAATCCGAAAGGCATATATGACATTACGGGACCTAAGTAGTTTTTTGAGCAAGTGACCATTAGCTTATCGTTTAACAGTAATTGTAAACTGGATAAAATAGAAAATTATCTTAAATTATAAACTAAACGAGGGAGTTTAAAGTCTTAATAGCTATTAATATTGACAACACGTACTGAAGAAACCAATGACTTATCAAGTCGCCCTCACCATATCATCATATAACGATTCGCCTAAATAGAAGTCAGTGCAAACTTGCTGTTGTTGGTTTTTACTTCCTTTGCGGCATGGCACCCTACCCATGTTCGGTCGCTGTGTCTGTCCAATTTGTTTGTTGCGGAAGTTTTCATTTACTTTATGGCCATAAGTTCTTCCTTCAGAATTATGAATATGCAGATAGTCGCACAAGAATAGTATGACTCCAAAAAATATCCAACAATAATATAATAGCTAAGCAAACAATGAAAAAAGTTAAGCTATATGTGGTTGTTGTACACAAATAAACAAAAAAAACAATTACTTTGAATGAAAATACATTTTTTCCTGCTGCGGCGTTTCTCTGTAGTCGATGCGCCTTGCCATTTGACGTTGTTGTGTTATTGTTGTTGTCACTTGTTTGTTATTGTAATAAATACAACATGTTGTTGACATGTACTCAACGTGAATTGTGCGTCAAGTTGGTGAGAAGTGAGTAAAACCATGCCAAGAGGTGCTGGCGGCGGCAGCGGCGTCGGTGTTGCTTGTTGATCGTGTTCGCCTTCGTGGCGTTGTTGTTGATTGCTGACGCTGTCGTTGACGTGAACGTAGTTGTAGGTGCTGCTTATGACGCTGAGGGTGCAAACGTTTGGGACTCGGCTTGTAGTGTGTTGCATTTGTTGTTGTTATTGTTTTTGTAAGTACGTGCGTTTAATTATCGGTATTGTGGCAATGCGCACAACAACTACTTACCACTGCTACACACGCCCTCCTCCACCTTGTTACCTATACAAATATTGCTTTTGTTTTTGTTGCTGTTGCCTTTGGCTTGAGTCATTGACCTGTGTCGCGCTTATAACTGCATAACTCGCACCAAATACACTGCCGCGCTATGTCGCCGCCGATGCGCGGCCTCACTCGCGGCAGCTGTAGGTGCATTCATGTGTCTATGTACATATGTATTTAAGCACGCGTAACCTATGTATATACATACATAGTTGCAATATTTATTAGGGCCTCCGTGCCGCTAATGGCTTTGCCAGACTGTCGAATGTTTTTTTTTTATTCGAGCTTACGCACATACACATATACACGAATGCTTTGGTACGTTCAGCTCCCTTCGGGCGGTCGTGCGTCAAAGCACCGCTGAATACTACTTCAAGCAGTGCTGGGCTGCCTTGAGCGCATTATCGTTAACTGAAGTAAAAATCAAATAAAAAATATACAAAAAAACAACAAAAATTGCTCCACCATTACACTTGCGCCTTCGTTGAACCGCCACCACTTTCTCCCTTCGACATACATACGTAATTCATCATTTTGCTTAGTTCATCGTGCAAGTGACAAATGCGTATTTTTTATGTAAATAAATAATTCGTTTTGTCTTGCACTTTGCACCTGCAATCCCGTTTTTTGTCATTTTTCAAATGATTTGTTGTTTTTATTGTATTTGTTATTAAAATTAACTAAGTTACAATAAATCACAAACATGAATTATCAAATTTTGTATTTTCTCTCCATTTAAAGTAATTA